TATCAATGCAACTTAAATACCGTTAAAGCTATTTATAATATAGGCATTGAAATCGAAGATGACCTTGCAAAATTGAAAGCTACTAACAATAGTAACAACAGTGGCTAGAAAGGAAAGAAGAACGACAATCCTTTTTCTTCCGAAAACACCTACTCTATGAACAATGCTAGCACCTACGATCTTAATTATCTCTTAGCCATAGACAATCAAGGACCAAGAAGACAACAAAGGAGAGAGTCCACCCCTATTGGGATGAGCTATGACACCGCCTTCGATCGTCTCCATGCCAAGGGGCTCATCACTCCCATTGGACCTATTCAACATCTAACGCTTGAAAATAGATCATCTAATTGGAATCTTAACGCCCATTGTAAGTATCATCAAGGTAGGGCTCATACTACCCAAAGTTGTTGGAAACTTAAGGAGGTCATCCAATATTTGATTGATAATAACAACTTCCAGTTCCTTTAGCCGACAAGAAGACCGAGTGAAGGAATTGGAACTTAATAATTAAACATCTTGGTTCCAATGTTAGTTCCTTTCTCCAGTATAACGAATCTTAGACATTTTCTTCTCTTCTTTTCTTGGTGTAAATTTGTTGTTGAACATTGCTTCAAATATTGACCCAATCATGATTTATAATCTTGTAAATCATCTCATCTACAATCTTCTACAATTGTGCATTAGTGGTTTTACAAGAAAAATATGTAGCATAATTGAAAAGATTAAACTATATACAAAATGTATATAATAATACGACAAAGATTAGCATAAGGATGTAATAGTTACTTACCCATTTACCTGTACAAATAAGTAACCTTCTACATGCCTCTTATATAGACTTTTAATGAAAGGAGCTCGTATATATTTTGAAGAATACATACTAACAATCAATGGGTGTCATCCATTAGGTTGTCTCTTCTCATATAGCCAGCTCATTTAAACATTTCTTGGTCCTGGAAACTCAAATTAATTTGAGTTCCTTCTTGTTAGTAAGAGTAGTTAAAATTTCATTTTTCACTCAGACAAAATTTATACGACTACTACTAACAAGAAACAACACGCATCTATACATAATTAATATCTTAAAGTGATTATAATGCATGTAATTAAAATCAATTCATTTGCAACATAAAAATAAGCAATAGTACCTGGACTTTACCAAAAGAATTCAATTTCAAGTGATAAAGTTGTATATATGCATTGTTTTGTAAGATATACTCCTTAAGAATTTTTTTTTTAACTGTTTATAAAATCTATTTCAAAAATCTTAAACTTGTCTTGAAAGCAAAACAGCTTAAAGAGCATCCAAAATCGATAAAAAAATCTTAAACAATTTAAATAGTTGAAATAGAAATACTACAAGGAACATGCTTTAAACAAGTCATTCGTGCATATATATAAAGATCCAAACGATTAGGAACATACCAGAAAATAAAATCTTTAATCTTTGTACGACTTTTTAATATCAAGATATAGTCAGCCCTCATCTGTTCCTAAAGATGGTATTTGACTGAGTTCTAATCATCAAGTTTCTTCACAGGAGCTCCTCCTTCACCTAGATCATGACTCAACAGGGTTGCCTGCTTTATATTGAGTTCCTACTTTGATACCACGTGTTATTTGGATGGAGCACACAAGAGGGGGATGAATTATGTAGGAACTTGTGTTCCTAAATTTTGCGGAAATTAAAACGTTTAATGCTATAGAACAAATAAAACTGCAAGAGAGATTTTTGCATGGAAACTTCTTGCGCCTAACAAGAAGGAAAACTACGGCCACTTTGGATTTTCTAAATCGAGTTCACTATATATATAGGCAATAGTATTACAACCTATTGGAACTCGATAAGAATTTAAGTTCCTTTAGAACCTAAATGAGTATAGTGGAGAACGTGGGGAGGAAGTGATGAACGTGACATATGGGTAAGCAGTTGAAAACGGTTTTCTTGGAGAGAAATTATATGGAGTGCTTAAATTAATCCTTGGAGAAAAAGAAAACTTTTTGTAAAATAAGGTATCTAAGATATTTATTTCAAAACATTTCTTTAATCAATTCAGTTAGAAGAATAATTTCCAGTAAAATAATTTTCAACTTAAACGTAATAAGAAGACTTAATCCAATTACAAACTTTTACAAGTTCGTTTGAATAGCCGGTACTAAATATCTCAACTGATTTTCCTTGAAAATAGCCAGTCAAAACAACATGATTAATAAAAGATATTTTTAGGAAAATAAATGTTTTTGTAAAATAATATCCTTGGTTTATTTTCCAAAAACTAAATAAAATATTTTCTTATAAAATAGATTTACTTTTATCACATTAACAAAACTTTATTTTATAAAGTATTTTTTCTAGGATAAATATCTAAATAAGAATTCATTATAGTTGAACGTTTATTTAGAGAAGATCAAGTTCATACTTGTAGACACCTGATTGTGTCTCCCCAAAAACCAAACCTAGTGATGAGTACCTTTCACGTCTTTGATTAACGAGTTTGGTAAAGAGTTGAAGAGTCTCGTAAAATTTCCTTTAGCCTTGACCATATCCCTAACCTTACCTAAAATGTTTTAATCCAAAATAATTCATTTCGTGCCTTTAAACCCAAAATCATTCATTTCGTGTCCTTAAAATCATTCATTTCGTACCCAAACCTTAAAAACATCCAAATCAGATTATTTTGGTCCATAATCTCAGTCCAATTATTGCTTAGTTAGATGGGGCTTAAAAATAGCTTTCCAATGATATATTAAAAGCCCAAATCTGAATTAAAACGAGTAAGTTATGGCAAAATATTAAATCGAGCCCAAACTGGCCCTAGGTCCATCTTACCTACGACCCAATATGTGGAGGGTCTAAGTACCTTAATCCCAATCCTAAAATAATTAGTATTTATTACGAGTTTCAGGAATCCTCTTGAAGGTTCTAATTTATCCTTTCCCTGAAAATAAAGATTGAAGAATTTGATATTGAATAAAATGACTCTTTTTTTATAGTCCTAATCCCGGTCAAAACTGAATTTTGTGCCTCATAATTTTTATCCAAATCTTAAATGGTTTGATAGCTCTTGAAATGATCTTTCCAACGATATATCATAATCCCACTTCCGTTTGGAAACGAAAAAGATATGATTAAAATACCAAATTCTATCCAAAACTGACACAGTTCCACTATTTCAATCACATCTTAAATTTTAAAAAAGTTATCAATTTGATTCTAATTGTGTTAAAAATTATACTTATAGAGATTTCCAACGATATATTATTTATCTTATTCTGATTTCTGGATCAAAAGTTATGATAAAAACAAAATTCATAAAAATGCAGGATCATCGCACCGCGACAGCACCATCGCGCCGCGATAAAAAGAGTTTTACTTTGATTTAAATTCTGACTCTTTTCAGATCCTTTGACTTTCTTTTTTCTCTATAAATAGTGGTCGTATCACCCCGTCTTCAATCATCAACAAGCTTATCACCAACAATCATCATCAATACCCTCTCTAATATTCTCTCTCTCTTGATTTCTCATGTTCTTAGCCTAGCCCAAACACATCCCAAATACACATCCTTATACTCTCTTTAATCAAACACCATACTTCCTTCACGAGATTTGAATACTCCTAACCGTCCTCGACGTTGCCTGCGACCTCGTCGGGAAAGCTTGATAGTTCTGAGGGTTTGGTCCCAAATCTCTATTTCAATTAGTATTTAATTTATTTACTTTGTTGATTTAATCTTTCTTGAAGTACTAACGTGTTTATTGTTTTAATAGGAAGAAAGCCAAGACATCAAAGTGAGTAGCTCTACTATCGTTATTTTTTTTATTTTGGAGTAAAAATCATATTTACAATATTATTTTAATTCCTAGTATCATGTTAGGATGTTATTTTAATTTCTAGTATCATGCTATGATGCTTTTGTGATTTCTAGTATCATATTTAGGTTAATGCTTTGATTATGATTTTTATTAGTGACATGCTAAATTTTGTTATTAATCCGTTTAATATTATGCCTAGGATCTTGCTAACGATGTTTTGATGATATTATGATGATGATGATGATTGTTATGTCAATTAATTAATTGTTCCTTGATTGATTGTTATTGCTTGATCACGCCCCTTCTTGCATGTTTAAAGGGAATTTGTACTTGAAATCACGCCTAATAAGATAATTAATAATTTGATTTAGGCTAATATGATTTTCATTCAAGTGATCACCAATAATAGATTTGATTGTGCATTAATAATCAACCAACGTAGATTAAATATGCTTAGGATTAATTTGATGTATGTATGCTGATCGAAAAGCGCACATGAATGTCATAAGAATTAAGTAGAGACCGATTTAGGGCGGGTTCAATCTCTTTTAGGTTGGATTCGTACTATCATCCCTGAATATCCAGTCATGGTTCCGAACCACTATGGAGTTAGCGATCTCCGTGATCGTGAATGGGGTGTAACTTTCGCACCCATGAACGGTTTACATGTTCCTAAAACTTGTTAATGACTTTTCTATCTCTAACTTCCTTCCTTTGGAGCGTCGCCATGCCTTAAAGCATGAACATAGTGGGGCTGAAAAGGTTGAGTTTGAAAAATTCCCTACACTTTTTGGCGACTCCACTGGGGAGGATTTCTAATTTTGATTCCTAAAATTTATTTTGCACTAGTGGAAAAATCGTCAATTGCAGCGCATTATTTGCAGCGAACCTATGTACGGAATGCTGCAAATAGTGGTTAGTCAACACGGATCAATTCTTTGATGAGTTAATAGCAGCGTTGTTTGCTAAGAATTATTTGCCGCACTCCCAATTGAAGCACGTTGCAAATAACACGATTTATTGCAGCGTTCCCTACTTTGGAACACTGTAAAAAAAATTTATTTGCAACGTTCTCCATATGGGGCGCTGCAAATAATGTAATAAAGAATAATAAATTAAATAATAAAGTTTTATTCATTCCTTTATTTTATTTATAAAACATGACTTCGACTTCGCCGCTCCACTACAGAAAACCCTAACCCCAAAATAACCCAGGGAGTAGAAGAAAGAGAGAGAGAAGATGAAGAAAAACCCGGCGCCGTCGAGTTTTTCCGTGTGATTATGAGCGCTCCACACTCCGGCAACCTCCGTCCGACCAATGGCCGTGCGCAAAGAGGACGAAGTCTAGGTTGTTTATGGTACCTCATGGTCGGAAATTCTTCTTGGAAGCTCGGTATTCAGGTGTTTCTCGCTTTCTCTTTCTAGATCTATCGTTTTTCTTTCATTTTTGCAATTTCATGCTGTTTTTTTTTGAGAAATTTGATGTTAAACCCTGAAATTCTCGATTTGTATTTTGATTATAATTGTTGATTCTTTAAACTTAGTGTTTTTGTAAATTTTCTGAAATTGTAGATTAGGTATCTTGCATTGTTGATTATTAATGAGTTATTTATGCGTTTGAAGCTTTTTTGATCCCTAATTACTGAAAGTTTTGATCAATTATTAAGTTTATCGGTTGGATTTCAAAGACGTTGAGTGAGAGGCTTCCTTCTTTAGATATCAATTATTCATTGAAATGCTTAATTTGTTTAGATCTAGGGTTCATTTGATTAAAATTTGATTTTAATTTACATTTTCTATTTTCTGTGGTTTAGTTATTGTTTTCAGTCTCTTAAAATTTATGGAGTAAGTGAGTTCAAATCTTCTCTCAAACAAATCACCTAACTTCCTATGAAAATAGGAATCACTACAAAAAATTAGAACAATTTGGGTAGCAGTATTAAGCAGAAACATGAATATGGCCCTTGGAGTAATGCTAACAGGTACCTATTATTGTTTCAGGTTGTGGGAGCATTAGTATTAGTAGCAGAAACATGAATTATGACCCTTCACAGTTGCCACCTGACTGTCCACGGACCTGCTCCTTTAACAGGACCTTCTTTTCTGCTCCGGTGATATGGGGGTTGGTGGGTCCGCGCAGGATCTTTGGAGGCATGGGGTACTACTCACATATGAACTGGTTCTTCCTAGCAGGAGCCTTGGAATGGAAATGGTATGCTCTAAGCATTTTGAAATTACTTGGCCATGCAAGACAGATTAGAATACTGTCTCCTTAAGCTTCAACAGCTATTATCTACAGGGATTTGGCTATTTAATGTTTAGGCAACAAATACATTACTGAGTTGTAATTGCAATTGAAGTATGATTATGCGGGATAATCCGTAAATCGAGCATACAATCCACTTAGCTTTGGCATGTTGTTCTTTGTGTTAACTCTTCTTTGTTACTTGTTGACAGTTTGCTGATGAAACTTATGATGTTGTTCTGGATAAGGGGGATTGGATGCATTGATGGAGCCAGAGTTTGGTTCCAAGTTGGGTGATCAATATCTATCAGAGGTGTTTTGATCTTCCATTTAAGTATACTTTTTAATCACACTTATATTGCATGTGCTTACAAGATTTGTGTTGGTGTATTGATATGCATTGTTGTTTCATAATCCTTTATGGTTTGCAGTTATTTGTTTCATGATAAATAATCTATAATCATCTTTCTCATCTTAAAACTTATTTTAAGATTACCACTTAGCCTTGTTTCAAATCTTGGTGATGTCCTTTTAACTTTGAATTGGATATGGCCTTGGTAAACTTAGGGTGAACACAACTCTCTCTCTCTCTCTCTGAAGCTTGTGTACACCAGATAGAAAAGAAAATTTCTTTTGTTTCTACATTGATTCTTTATTAACCTGACAAATTTGATGTATAACTCTACATCTCTAGATTTTATGATATTTTATAATTATATGTTGGTGATCTGAACTGTAAATTTTTAATTTTTTCTTTTTAGAATAGGGTTTGTGAATGGCTTTTTACCTCAGAAGGACAATGGATGGTGGTTGAGAGTGCTAAGGCTGCTTGACTGGTAATTGTAATTTCTTGTTTAGTTGTTGTTTGAGCTATATTCAGGTTTTATAATTATTGAGATTTGCTGTTGAGAAGCCTATTTTTTTTACTAAAGCGTTGTGAATCTTCAGATTTTCTTAAACTCTAGTCATGCTAACCTTGGGATGAAAGAAATTCAGGTAAAGATAGTTTTGTAAAACAAGAAATATTAATTTTCTTAGTAGAATTCTGACACCAATGAGACACTGATGTCTGTTCTTCATTTGCAGAAAGATCGATCTTTCTCCTCTCGTGAAGCTGTTGGAACATGAGAACCATGGTAGTGGCACTAAAATTTTGTATGTTTTTTAGCTTCCTCCTCTCTTTGTTCTGTAGATTTCATAGTAAGATGATTTAATGGAATAAGAAACATATTTCAGCAACAATTACCTGCATGATACTTGTTGAAAGCGAGGAGTACCTTTAGCTTTGTCTTGAACCCTCAGAATGAGCCATGCATATCTTCTATGTCTAGTAATCTGTATATTGGAGGGGTTTAATTGTGCTAAAATGAGAAAAGAAAAGCATCATGCTATGAGTATAAACTCAGCAGAACTGATGTTTGTAGTCGGGTAATATTTTAGCATTGCATCTAGTTCAGTTGCTTTCTAAGCTTTATGTTGTGTTATCCATGTCAGACTAGTATATGCTTCTCTTCTCCCATTCTTTCATTCTAGTATCTTTTTGCTCATTGGGGGGCAGGGGGGATTGTTTTTTATATGAGAGATCTTATAAAATATGTTAGGTTTATAAAATCAAGGGGACTGTTTTTTATGAATACTCTATGAGAGCTCTTCCAATGTTCTATAGTACCTAATAGCATTAAAAGTCTGATGGTATGTGACAATAATGGAAATAATGTTTTTTTCACTAGTGAAGAATGATTGAATAAAATCTGCTGCATTGTATTTGATCACCTCTTTGGATCTTAGCAAATTATTTCTTACTACTTACTAGACACACAAGCTGCTGTTATTTGATGTTTGTTGACTTAGCTATATTCTACTTTGAAGTTTGACATTGCTAACTATCTGTTAATTGCGCAGATGCTAGAAATTACTTTGACTTGCCTGCTTGAAGGACGCTAAGTCTCAGAGAAAGTACATCCAAATTCTTCTACATTTGACAAGTCAGATGTCTATGCTAAATTCTGGAGGCAATTGCAGATGCTATTGAAGAAGATGTTGGTCGAATCTCTATCAGCAGGTCCAAATAAAACGGCTGTTGCTTCACATGAACCAATACCATAATCAAAGAGGTTAGGAGGTGACGAGAAATTAAAAGAGTTCCACCAATTGCAAAGCTTTTTGGAAATTAGAGCTTATAGGATGTCAAAGCTTTCCGGCCTCATTCGTTAAAAAGATCAGTTGTTTTTATAGTTTTTATATTTGGCTAGAGGAATATATACCCCATGATTTACATGGTTTATTTGTAATGACCTTGATTTTTGGCTGTTAAATAAAATCATCAAAATGGTTTCTATTTATCCTTCTTACTTTTGTTTCTGTTTGTCCAGGAATCTTAACAAACAAACAAACAAAAAAATTATTTGCAACGCGCCTAAAGAGAGTGCGCTGCAAAAAATAAAATTATTTGCAGCGCACCTAGGTAGGGTTTGCTGCAAATAGTCCAATTATTTGCACACCTAGCTTGTGCATGTTGCAAATAATCCAACTTTTTCGCAGCGCATAGGGTTAGGCACGCTGCAAATAACCGTTTTTTGCAGCGTTTAATGCGTGCTGCAAATAATATCCAATAATTGCATCGCCCACATATGCAGCGCGCGAAAACGCTACAAAAGGTGGCGTTTGGACGCGCTGCAAATAGTTTTTTTTCCACTAGTGTTGGCAATAGATTTAGAATGAGTGGATGAGACTTGAAAGATTCTAGATATTCATTGTGCGTAAATTTTGATTAACAAGCATAAAAAGGTTCGCATTGGAAAGACCATCCGTAATGCGTTAAAACATAGGATTTTACACGTAGGAAAAGTCGGAAATATCTTATACAACTAAAATCGAATAAACGCTACGAAAAATCGGAAAAAATATCGAACATAGATATTGCCGCGGCGCGTTGGAACTGTCGTGAGACGATAGAGTTCATCGCCATACGACAACTTTATCGCGGCACGATAGAGCTGTCGCTGCGCGATGGCCTCTGTTTCCTCGCGCCGAGTTCTCACAATATTACACCAGAATTCTTTCTTCGTGTTTTGCCTGATTCTAGTACTGTTTCGACTTCCTGATTGAGTTTTTTTCGACTTTTCTGAACCCATATGTGTTCTACATATGGTCTTAGCCCTTGGGAATTCACGCTCCATCCACCCTAATGAACACTCCGTGCAACAATGGGTGCATTTGAGTTTGTGAATTCACCAAACCATGGAAGCGAGTTTAACTTGCGGGGTCCCATCCATCTTGCCAACCCTTCTAAGGTAAGGCTTTCGCACGATGCATTTGAACTCATAACCATAGACCCTTTTGGACACCATAATCCTTGACCTTAGAGAACTAGAGCCATGGTTAGGTTGCAAACTCATTGCATCATTTGTGACTATTTGACTACTTGTGCATATCTTACATGCGCATAGCTTGTTTGTGATTAAACTAACCTTTGTTCTTGTACATATGTCTATACAAACTAACCCTTTGTGTTAACTTGATTCTTGTATATATGACTTGTATATACTAACCTGAAGGACTTCGCTTAATTAAATTGGTTAATTAATTTGAAATTAAAGTCTAAATATGCTCAACCTAGTAGACTATATGCTTAAACCTTCGAAAGAATCACTGAAAACAGATTGCAATGACGTTCCAACTTTGGCGCATCGTTTTGATTTGTAGCGCAGGACACTTGTGTCCATCGCGCGCAATGGAGCTGGCGCTCGGCGATAGTCCCATCGCCATGCGATAGTTCAGCTGTTTTTTTTTCCGAGTCTTCGATCGAGTCCCACTACCACAATTAACCAGTTTACACTAGTAGAAAAATATAAAAGGGCACTGGTTCAATACCCCCATATAGCACCGGGTTTGAACAGGTGTAGATTTGAGGGAAGCCAAAAAAAAAAAAAAAAATACTTTAGCACCGGTTCAAAACCGGTGGCAATTCTTAGTTTTATTACCGGTTAACTGGAGCGAATTAATATTTTTGGCACCAGTTAACCAGTGCTAAAAATCATTGCCGCGATTATTTTTTTTATTTTTTTTTTGTATTAATGAAAATTGGCACCGGTTCGATTCAAAATCGATGGCCTTAATCCCCAAAAAAAATAAAAAACAAAACAATTGGCACCGGTTCGGTTCAAAACCAGTGCCCTTAATGCCTCAAAAAAAATAAAAAAAAGAATTTTTATTAGAAATTAGAAATTAGAATCCTCCACACAATCCTCCATCTCAGTCAACAATAAATTAGAAATTTCATCAACAACATCAAGGGACATAATCCAATAAATTCAAGGGACGACATATAAAATGTAAATGATATAAACATTCATCAACGAAAACCGCAAATTTCCTCAAAATAAAGCAAATAATTCATGAATCTATTAGGGGGTTTTTTTTCATCCAAAAACTTCTCAAACTGTGTTACATCAACGGACAAACCGGAGCAAATCATAGTGAGAAGCTGTACGATGAAAGTGAGTCCCTTCATCATATGGATTATCCTAGTGTAACTATTTACAGCCAAGTGACTCAACACATTATGATATCTATAGCACACAACATGTCCGCTCAAAGAGGTTCATTCAGCACATTAAAAGTACACATGCTCATCATTCATAACAATAACAGTCCCCTTGCATGCAATAATCAAGCAACAATAACCAACAACAACAATCCAGCCCGCCAGCAACGTATGCTGGTATACAACATGAATCGTTCATCCGCCACTTAAACATGCTTCTAAGTATAGAATTAAAATAAATATAGACAACTTAAATAACAGAGAGGTCAGGGTTTTAGAAATCTACCAACAAATGTCAGCAAGCAAGTATTTCGAACAGGGAGACTCAGTTGGAGCTTTTTTCAGGTTCTTTCGTGAGCTAGCAACAATCTAACTCTAGAGATAATAGAGAGAGGTAGTAGGAAAGGGAGAGTGAACCTCACAATTTAACTACGAGCACCACCCTACAGCACCAAAACCACCCACCACCACAAGCACCACCCTACAGCACCGAAACCACCCACCCCTACTGCCTAGCAACGAAACAACCCAACAACCACAAAACCACCACTACACAAAGAAGAAACATAAGCAGTAACGGGAACACTTTACCCACAATAAAATGCAGCAACATAAGGCACCACGAGACACATCACCCAGAAACCTGCCTTCACTACAACCTGTCGTAACCCACAACGCCAACATCTATCCGTATAAACATCCAAGACCAGCAGCAATTTCGAACAATTCATAAATTAAATCCAAAAAAATCAAGGCATTTAAAATGAATAATTGGACCAAAATGCAAAGCTAAAGAACCAGAAATCCTAACCTCGAATTTGTGATTTTTGAATCGATAATTGATACAAGTTTGTTGTTGTTGTTGTATTTGGTTCAAATTGACGGCGGCGGCGATGGTGGTTGTGCTTGGTTCTAATGATGCCGATTTTAGACTGAGAAGGAGAAGGAGAGCGGCTTTGCTTGTGGCGCGGTTATGGAGAAGGAGATCAAAGGAGAGAGAAAAGGAAAGGGAAAGCGGCGGTTATGGAGAAGGAGATCGAAGGAGAGAGAAGGAGTTAGAGGAATGAGCCTGCATTGTTGTAGATGAGAGAGAGGCAGATGAGAGAGGAGGAGAGATCAAGGAAAGAGAAAGAAAGAAGACAGAAAAAGAAAGAAGATAAAAGGCCAAGTGTTTTTTTTAACATTAACATTTGCACTAGTTCGAACCGGTGCGATTAACTCATTTTCGCACCGGTTTGGTTTGAACCAGTGCGATTACTCTTTCTCTCAATCCCGCCTATATTTTTCGCACCGGTTTTTAGAAACCAGTGCGCGTTTTACGGTGCTCATTTGACTTTTTCTACTAGTGTTAATGTACATACATGGTCTTTTCCCAGTCTTGTTTGAGTCAAATCGCATGTCTAGTCACATGGTCATCACACGAGTCTTGAACACATCATTTTCACTCATGAGTCTTTGTACATACTTTCTTCACACCATGACCATGTCTTAGGTCTATGCATGAGTCGTCCTTTCCGTCATTCGAGTTGAGGGTTCAACTTATTCCCAAAATTTTTCATATCCTTCCACATTCACATATACCTTTCCACATACTTTCCATACATTACACTTTCTTTCTTAAATATTTTCCACATTCACATACTTTCCTCTTTCATAGTTTCCCCATATCATTCCCCTCATACACTATGATCTTTCCCATCTATGCATGTTGAATCGAGTTCGAGTCATGTGATTGACCACTACTAGAAATAGGCCTTTTTCCGACGAAATCGTTCCGACGGACTTATTTTCCATCGAAAAATTCGAATTTTTTGACGGAATTTGGGTCTGTCAGAAAAGTCCGTCGGAAAATATATGTTGCGACGGAAAATCCCTCGAAAATATTCCGACGGATTTTTTCCCCTCAGAATTTACTACTTCCGACGGAATATTCCCTCGGAAAATTCCTTCCGACGGAAATTCCCGTTAGAGGCTGTAAATTTTGACTTAAAAAAAAAAACACCCTATAAAACCCGGAAACCCTTATTTTTCTCTCTCCTCTCTTCCGCCTCTTTTTTCTTTTTTCTCCTCTTCTCTTCTCTTCCTCCTTCATTCTATCTCCTCCTTCATCTTTCTTTTCTTTTCGATCTTTCTCTCTCCTCTCCTCTTTCCTCTTCTCCTTCCTTCTCCTTGTCCTTCCTTCTCCTTCGTCCTTCCTATTCTTTCGTCCTTCCTCTTCCTTTTTCTTCTCTTCGACACAACGGGGCATTTTCATCACGTTTTCTTCTTCTTCACGTTTTCTGGGTAACAATGGAACATTTTCATCAGGGATTTGCTTCGAGTTCAACCGTTCGATTTACTTACCAAAAAAAAACAACTTCGATTTTGATTATTTTAAAGGTTAATTAGGCCAAATTCGACCAATAAAATCCTAGATCTAGACTTTTCATGGCCGAATTTGGCCTTGTTAAACTGTTTTTGTGGTGAAATTCGAAGCCCTCTTCAATTCAAGGTATGTTTATTTTTTAATTTTTCGGTTTTCTGAGTTTCTTTTCTTTTTTTTTTGAAATTTTTGAGCCTATTAGTTGTAGTGTGTGTGTATGACGTGTGGGCTAGTGGTGGGAAGCGAGGTGGGAATTTTTGGGTGGTTTTGTGGGGTTTGGTGGCGTGGGCTAGGATTAGTTAGGGTTGTGGGTGGTTTCATGGGTTTGGTGGCCTGGTTGTTGGTGGCGTGAGTCTGGGTTAGGATGGTCGTGGTGGGTTAGGGGGTGGGTTAAGGGTGTTTGGTGGGGTTACAGTGGTGGGGTTA